GAGGGGGTGATGCTTTATCCAACTCAATGATTGTTTTTTTTTTTTTTTTTCTAACATGTTGTTGTTATCTTTCACTTGGATGTTATAAGTTGCACTGAGTAAATAGAGCTGGATAAAACAAAAACTGTGTCCGTCTTCATTTCAGATTGCAAAGCAACAAAATGTGATTATTTTAAAGGGATGTGATTATTTTCTATACCCACTGTGTAGTCGTAACACTGGCATATACTGTTATAAATTATATATTAGATTTTATTTCATTTATTATACATTATTTTATACTTATACATATACAGTGGGTACGGAAAGTATTCAGACCCCCTTAAATGTTTCACTCTTTGTTATATTGCAGCCATTTGCTAAAATCATTTAAGTTATTTTTTTTTCCTCATTAATGTACACACAGCACCCCATATTGACAGAAAAACACAGAATTGTTGACATTTTTGCAGATTTATTAAAAAAGAAAAACTGAAATATCACATGGTCCTAAGTATTCAGACCCTTTGCTCAGTATTTAGTAGAAGCACCCTTTTGAACTCCTAAAGCCATGAGTCTTTTTGGGAAAGATGCAACAAGTTTTTCACACCTGGATTTGGGGATCCTCTGCCATTCCTCCTTGCAGATCCTCTCCAGTTCTGTCAGGTTGGATGGTAAACGTTGGTGGACAGCCATTTTTAGGTCGCTCCAGAGATGCTCAATTGGGTTTAAGTCAGGACTCTGGCTGGGCCATTCAAGAACAGACACAGAGTTGTTGTGAAGCCACTCCTTTACATTAATGAGGAAAAAAAAAAACTTAAATGATTTTAGCAAATGGCTGCAATATAACAAAGAGTGAAAAATTGAAGGGGGTCTGAATACTTTCCGTACCCACTGTATACACATTACAATTAATTTGCGATAATCAGTTTAAATGGGTGTTATACCATGTATATTAGTGCTGTTTTGGTATCATTGATATTGCAGTTATTTATTAATATTTTTTATTTTTTTTTAGTAATTTTGTTGTGTTTTCTCATTTTCATTAGTTTTCATTTGTGTTTTTTTTTTTTTTTTCTATATAGATTTAATTATATTTTATTTATTAGTCTTGGTTCATTAGTTGTAGTTATCTTGGTACTTCAAGTTAAATAAAACAAAAGTGAGAAATGTTGCTCTGGAATCCACCTGAAATAAAATAATAATATAATAATTCTATTTTATTTTATGTCGGTTCATGTTTATTTTATTTCAATTAATGATTTTTTTTTTCTTATTGTCTTTTATTTTCTTTTTTATGGTTTTAGTTAACTATAATAACATACAACTATAAAAAAAAACACATCTGAAAAGCAGAAGACATTTAATCTCTGCTGTGTTCTGTGAAAAGGCTGAGATATTACAGACATTTATTTCTTAATAAAGTGGTTCAGATGAGTAATTAGTATACGTTTACAGCTAAGCTGATTATTAGAGGCCCTCAGAATTGGCACGCTCTTTCATTACTGTACTTATTTCAGAGTCCTACAACTGAGAACAAGCGGTATTTGAATCTCTCAGTCGATTTTTGTACTGAATTCTTTAAATAAGGACACAGAGAGATAGAGAGAGGAGCTGTGTCTTTCCGACCTTGCCGCTATTTCTCAATGATAATAAATCCCTGATGGAATGAACAAATATGCTGAACCATTGTCATAGGAAACCAAAAAAATACACCTTTTGAGATTCCTTGCACAGCTACATTTGAATGATTTCTCATTGCAGTAGCATTCAGTAGATTTAACTAGAGTAATAGCACTGTATGCACGTCTTCCTGTCTCTGTTTTCAGGGATGTCTTAAAAGTGCAATGCTGACCAATTCTGGCATACTCTTCCTGTACAGTGCATTAAATTGGAGCTTATAACCTTTACACCACCCACCTTGATCAATGACCATTTGATGACCACCATAAACATTACATGGTATCTTGCATCTTTCCGTTTGTAATGCATTAGTATTACATTTTTCAAACCAACTAATCTATCTATGTATAACTCACCTCGACTGTATTTTCATACATGGATTATGTAACCATAAAATATCTTGGTAACACTTTACTTGCATTATAAAGCTATTCATAATGTAGTCTGTAAGGCAGTATATATTATCATAAATAATTGTAACCAAAGTTAAAATGCATTACAATATTGGAAGGTTTGTTTGTCATGTTTTAATGCATTACCCTTTCTAAATCTGTAACACAATATGATGATGTATTATAACTGTGGTTTCAGTTATACATGAAATCATGCAATGCATTAAAAGGTGCATTACAAGGCATAACTAATGCATTAAAACTACTTTTATAATGCATTATATATAAAGGCTTTAAGTAAAGTGTTACCTATATCTTTTTTAGTAGGTATTTTATACTTTTTTATATTTGTATTATTATTATTATTATTGTTATTTTAGATTGATCATTGTGATTTAATTAAGCATTTGTTTTTTCAATTCACAAACCCCTGCAGTTCTTTCACAAACACCAGTTTGGGAAACGCTGGTGTAATATAATGTTCAATGCATTTCAAGATGTTGATAACTAAGAATGGAATATATATATTTTTTCTTTGTATTTTTATATCAATGTGGTATGAAATAATCCTTTTCAAAACTATGTGATAAACAAGTTACGTCATCAAAGGTAATCTAAAAGTAATCCAATTAGATTACCTAAAATGTGTAATCTAATAGATTGCGTTACCGACTACATTTTTCGTCATGTAATTTGTAATCACTAATGCACTACAATTTGTTAGTAATCTACCCAGCACTGTTTATCAGTATTGGTCTCTCCAATTAATGATTAATTCTGACTTTTTATTGCATCCTTTTTACTCACTCTGTGTGCTTTTTTGGAAAATAGCGATCTTCTGATCTTGTACAATTCTACTCTAAAGTCTTTATAAAGTATTCCTACGGATGATAAGGCATTATCTGTGTTTGCTCTTCATTTGCCAGAGAAGAGCTCCAGCGCTGTAGGGGTTAATTTTACACACTGTGTCAAAGACCCACACAGCAGCCTGTGTCCTCTCTGAAATATTAATGAATCCTGCCGATATGCAGAGAGAGAGAGATGGACGCCAGGGTAAAATGTTGACCATGTTAACATTTCATCTTGGTCTAATTAGATGAGCTTTGAGGTGTTTCCACTGTATTTTAACCACGTTTCTGCTCTGAAATTCATTCATGCATTACAACAAATTCAATTCATATCCATTTATCCCATGCCGAATAAATCCATTTATTCTCACATTGTCATAATGACACAACACGGCACAGTATCACGTTGTCAGCGTGTTTCTGGAATTAAACGCGGGCAGGGGCATCCTAAGGAGGCATCTGCGTGTAATCGTTCTCCGGTTTTCCTGTAATCCTGCTCGTGCTCTGTTTGGAGAAACTATCCTGGTGCAGTATTTGGAAGTCTGTCAAGCCGTTCCATTTATACGTGGCTGTTTCGCATGTCTATATCGGAGCAAATGCATATGCGAGTGGCTCTAAAAAGCTAGTGCAAACTAAAGTGAGAGACTGCTTTAGTGCTCTTCTTAGTTAGTTGTCTGGATAATGGCTCTCTCTTGAGGGTTTCCGTGACTCTGTTTTCTGTGTGTAATGGAGAGAGGGGGCTTAAGCTCGCCTGAATGCATCACACTGCCACTACACCATCTCGCACTCAAGCACTTCGGAGTTTTACTCATGCCAGTCGGCCCTTTTGTGCCCAAAATGAAGCTCAATGTTCCCCCCTACAGGTTGAAAGAGGTAAAATACTCCAAGCGATAGCTAAAGATCCCTCGCAGATAAGCAGTGGGCCTGAACCTCTTGATATTCAGGATGGCTTTGTAAGTGATGAAAAAAATAATTGCGTTTACGTGCTTTTACATAAAAGTTATTAAAATGGAATGGTATGCACAAGCAATAAACAAAGAGCCACAGATCAGATATTATCATTCGTGCGAAAGCAATGGCATAGAATAATAATTCATATTCTCGCAGCCTTTTTTATCGCCTCACCGTGCCACATATGAATTTCCGGGGGGCAGAGGCGGGTGTCAAATATCCTGACTTTCGCACAGCGGAGGACTATTAAAACCAGCCGATCCGAAGGAGATGTCCTCCAATTCTTTCTCTCCTTTTTGCGTTCTTGCTCATTGGTATATATATATATATATTTAAAATGTGTTAAACAAGCACCAAAAATTTAAATTTATATGTACAAAACAAGTTAGTATTTTATTTTTAAAGATTTTTCTAATATTTTTAATGAAAATTGAGTTTGTATCACTCATTCGATTCTTCAGTTTTAGGATCATTAAATTGCATATTCCATATTTAATTTATGGTTTAAAAAAGGGAAAAGGGAAGGAAACAAACGTATACACATGTATAAACACATTGTTTTGGATTTGTATGTCCTATATGTTTTTTAGATGTGAATTTTTAATTAATTTAGTTAATTTTTTTTATTTATTTTTATTTTTTTGATGCACAAACATGCATCCATACATCATGAGAGAAATTTAATTTTGGTTGCACTGTCCCTTTAAAAAAATAAAAATAAATCCAGCTCGAAAAATGGATTCATGTATAATATGCCAGTTTGCAACTGTAGATGTGGGAAACGCAGACATCATGTTGTTAGAAAATGTTAATGTACTAATGTGATTAGGGAAATGTGCATAGGGTGAATGCAAGTCCATTTGGGTATTTGCTATTTTTTTGATACATGCTAGTAGGTATAACCTCACCATCGGCTGCGGTGTCTGCTTAGATTTCCCTTTCACTGATTTGAGTCTTACTGTGTCCGACAATCTTTGCATGTTTAATAAAAACACTCTCTTGAGCATAGCATGCAGGAGCTTCAGACACTTGTGTGTGTGTGTGTGTGTTTGGGAAGGTTATAGTGTGTCAAGAGAGACTCACAGACAGAGGGAAGAGCTTCAGCATGAGAGCTAAACTGTTTTCCTCTGTGCTCTGATTCCTGTAGGAGCGCACCCATGGAGCGACTGCTGCTGTGTCTGGCTCTGTTCTCCATGGCGTCCTATGCCATGCTGTGCCCCAAACGCTGCACCTGCCAGAACCTGCTTCCCTCGTACACCGTGCTGTGTGCCAAAACCGGCCTGCTCTTCGTGCCGCCTAATATCGACCGGCAGACCGCCGAGCTGCGACTGATGGATAACTTCATCACCACCCTGCGCCACCAAGACTTCGCTAACATGAGCAGCCTCATACACCTCACGCTCTCCCGCAACACCATCAGCCAGATCCAACCGTACGCCTTCGCCGACCTGCAGGATCTGCACGCACTGCATCTGGACGCAAACCGGCTCACGGTGCTAGACGACACCCATCTGCAGGGGCTTGTGAATCTGCGCCACCTTATCCTCTCCAACAACCAGCTTCACAGCATCTCCGACGGAGCCTTCCAAGACTTCCTAGAAACTCTCGAGGACCTCGACCTTTCTTACAACAACCTGGTGGACGTGCCGTGGGACACTATAGCCATGCTAGCCAGCGTCAACACCCTCAGTTTGGACCACAATCTCATCGAGTTTGTTCCCGAAGGGATATTTTCGAATCTTCATAAACTCGCCCGACTTGATATGACGTCCAACAAGCTGAAGAAGATCCCCCCAGATCCTCTGTTCCTACGGATCCCCGTCTACGCCAAAATGAAAGGCTCGCCGCTGACCGCGTTGGTTCTCAGTTTCGGCGGGAACCCGTTGCATTGCAATTGCGAGCTGGTTTGGTTGCGCCGCCTGACACGTGAGGACGATCTGGAGACGTGCGCGTCCCCGCGAGACTTGGCCGGCAAGTACTTCTGGACGATTCGCGAGGAAGAGTTCAGTTTGCACTGAATTTCTACATGATTAGACAGTGATCACGTTTGTTATTGATAGTAGAAATCTATAAGGACATGAGCGGCATGTCAGAACGCATCAGTGCTAAATTGCTTTTATTTTAATCAATGATGGTGTCTACACTGGAGGTTGACAGACGCCCCATTGGTATTTTTAATGAACTGCTCCAGATGCTTTATTACCCCTCAAATATAAAATGATTTTACCAATATTACAGTTTTTCTCAGTCGCTTTGGTGCATTTCTCGAATCATCCTTAATATTTGCAAAAATGTATGTGCATTTCTCAAAACAATTCGTACAAACAGCACCACACAATGGATTACCTGCACCAAAGCGACTGAGAAAAACTGTAATGTAATTTTTTTTTCTTTAATCAGAGCCAGCTCATGGTTTTCTGCTCTGTGTTCTACTAATTTAAATCAACTTTTGCTTCTAATTTATTTCCAGTTGCAGCAATACCAACATAATAATTATATAATTAAAAGCTAAAAATAGTTATTCACCCATTTTACTGTTTCTGAAGTCCAGCATAGAGCTCACAGCTGATTCGTTGGTAGTAAATGTCTGGTTGATGAGCAGAAACATATTTACTTTTTCTGAAGTATATTGAAAACAAGATTCATGAAAACATTGCAATGTGACATGAAGATTACAGCAGTTTAATTGTCAGCTAGTAGTGGCTTATAGTGATATTTAGTAGCAAAATACAGGCTGCTTGAGTGTCCAGATTGCCATGAAGTCTGCAGATGCAAAATCATGCATGCAATATCTGCTGATTCCAAATTTTTGAAAGCTTTAAAAATCTGTGCAACGTCTTTTTTTTTTTACAAATGCATTATTTGAGAAAGCACTGTGGATGGTCTATCCCCCCAAATGGGTTTTTGAATCTGGGTAATTCTGCATTAGATAAACAAATTGATTCTGTCTTTGTTCAAAGGCAGAGGCTGGCATCCGAGACTGGGGGTGTTAATAGCTTATGGCGGAATGCTATTCAGATAGGGAATAAAACATTGCAATTCCTCTGATGAATACAAATGGACCTCGATGATTGCCAGCCAACAAAGACACAAAAATATCATGAATGCAATATATGAAATGCATGCATGCATTTTATTTTATTTTTTCTGTGCTAAAGAAAGGATGCTTCCCAAAGGGTCCAGCTGTTTTAGGATATCTGCTTGTCAGAAAAGCTCTTGAAGAATTTTCATTAGCACACAGACAGATTGGCTTTCACGGTAATAGTTTCAGCCTGATGCGATTCAAACTGAATTTTGCAAAGCAGGAACCACGAGCCGACGGATTGACACCCTTCAATAAATCACAGAGCTCGAGGTGCAATGAGAAAGACAATAATAACAGAATAACAATAGAAGCTGCTTGCCCTCGTTTCAGATGCTCCTGACAGATTACAATGAAAGCGTATTTGCACTGATGTTGAAATACGTCTTGAATTCAAAACACAATATTTTGCTTTGCAAATATTGAGAGGACAAGCAAATTTTTGTGCGGATGCCCTATATTTTGGGGTTACGTATATGGACGTCGACGCCCCTGACGCAGAAACTACTACATTAATGTTCCTTTTTAGCATTCAGACGTGGCCCACCGCCCATGATTTCTCATTGAAGGGATCTGTAAGGATGTAATTAACTCTGCAATAATCCCTCTGGATAGATTAAGAGAGAAGAAAAGATACATACAGCAAGCAATTTGCTATTAATTATGGAAAAGGCAAGCGGAGTTCTCTGGTTTATAGAGCTGCAGAGTAATCTAAAAGTCTTTCAGAATCAATTAAGAATGCATGCGCCTGACTCCCGCTTGACAGCGGCCCGGGTTGGAGTACGGGTGACTTGGAGATGGTGGCTGAGAAACTGAGACCGGGGTGAGAATATAGAGTGTAAACTTTGAGTCGAAAGGACAGGTTAAATTTGAAGTGATGTCTAGGTGAAAGAGCGCTGGAGGCACAGTGTGTGTGGTGCCAAATGAAGACCTGGATGAAGTGCAAGTCACATGGAGTACATTTATATCAGCAGGCATTCTCTTGGCAGACGCTCTCTTAAAGGGATAGTTCACCCAAAAAATTTAAATCTGCTGTTAATTTATTCACTCTCAGGCCATCCGAGATGTAGGTGACTTGTTTTTCTTTTTCAGTAAAGAGTAAAGACAATTATTAGCTGAAACCGTGGTCATTGGTGATTCATAAAATGCAAGTCAACACCAGCACTTCAAGAGTCAAAAAAAAGCATATAAAGGCAACACGGAATGAATACCCGTTGCTCCTGATAATATATCGAGGTGTTATAAAGTGAAATGGTTGGTCTGTGCAAGAAACTGAACATTATTTACAACATTATTGCTTGTATTACCCAGATTTTTTTTCTTTTTATTCTCAAAAATGGGCAGCTGGCCATATTATAGTTTGCATTTGTTTAATTAGCTGAACTTAAAGGGATAGTTCTCCCAAAAATTTAAATCCTCATTATATACTCACCCTCAAGTTGTTCAAAACTTGCATGAGTTTGTTTCTTCTGCCAAACACAAAATAAGCTATTTTGAAAAAAAATGAGTAACTAAACACTTGCTGGCGGCCATTGACTTTCATGGTATTTTTGGCAACCGTCCACTCTTTGTTTCCCAACATTCTTCAAAATATCTTCTTTTATGTTCAACAGAAGAAACAAATTCAAACAGGTTTGTAACAAGTGGAGGGTGAGCAAATGATGACAAAAAAAAAAAAAACATTTTTTGGGGTGAACTACCGCTTTAAGAGTTTTTGACCCACTAAATTGTGGGATTTCAGTACATTCTATTTTCTTGGTTAAAGTTACTGCTGAAAAAGTTATATAATATACTTTAAATGTATTTCTATTGAAACTTATGTCATATATTTAAATAAAAAAAAAAACATTTTTTTGGGGTGAACTACCGCTTTAAGAGTTTTTGACCCACTAAATTGGGGGATTTCAGTACATTCTATTTTCTTGGTTAAAGTTACTGCTGAAAAAGTTATATAATATACTTTAAATGTATTTCTATTGAAACTTATGTCATATATTTAAATATATTTTTAAGTGCAATATATTATAAAACGTATTACAATTAAATGTAATATCAAATAACACTACAGTAATTTGATATTATTACAAAGTGTATCTATTATCTGCAATTAAAATTGCAGGAATCGTTCAGCCAAAAATAAAAATGTTGTTGTTACAAACCTGTATGAATTTCTTTCTTCTACTGAAGAGTAAAAGAAGATGGTTTGAAGAACAAACAGTTCCTCGTCCCCATTGACTTTTATAGCATTTTTGCCCCGTATTATAGAAGTCAATGGGGACCAACAACTACTTGATTTCCCATATTCTACAAAATATCTTCTATTATGCTCAGTAGAAGAAAGAAACTCATACAGGAACACCAGGAAGGTGAGTAAATGATTACAGAATATACATTTTTTGAGAGAAAGCATATTCATATACACCAGCACAGTCTTTAGAATTTCTCCTTTTGTTTTTACAGAAGAAAGATTAAATCATTTTTGGCGACCTGTTTCTTTAAGAGAGCTCTAGGTGACGAAGGTCTCTGTTTGAGAATGTCACTGTCATTATCTTACCTCATCTTTTCCACATTATCATCTCTCCCTCCCTCGTTATTTGCATGTTTTCATCTTTAATTCAAGCCGCTTTTAAGTGGGTAATTAAGCAGTGCTAGCTCCTTCAGAAGACAGTGAGATGACAGGGTTTCTGTGCCAAGAGACACATCTTCAGAAGAGCTCGAAGCCCCTTCTTAACTGAGAGGATTTTTTCTCAATATATATCCATCAAATGCTCTGTGAGAGGATCCAGAGGAGCAGACTGAAGGGAGATTCCTGTATCTGCTCATTAGCACATGACACTGCAGCAGCTACCAAACCTAACGCTTATTAAAACTCACTGACAGCGCTGTTAACAGTGTTTAACGCCTATGATACAAAACAATGTGTGTGGATGAATATGCAAACAGAGTTCAACAAATAATAGAATAGCTGATCAGTGGTCACGTAATTGTCAAAACAGCCACATTTAAGTTGTTTTATTTAAAATGTATATTTTTTTAATTATTTAGATTTTTGTATTTATTAATTTTTAAATGAACTTTAATGAATCATTTTAATAAACA